GAAGGATGATAGGATGGGGTACGAGCTGCGAGCGAATAGAGTGCGCATGTATCGACCTGCCGAGGAACCTCTGAGCTGGTTCAATATCTTGGCCGTGCACCAAAATCGGTAAGAGACAAGGGCCGGAAGGAGACCTCACTTGAAGTTCACAGCTGCTCATTCATCGTGCTGCCTAACCCAGCGTGGGCCATGATCCGAAGGCTTACGTACCAGAGGGGATGTTCGATAACAGCGTTCATCTTGTCGTTTGGGGTCATGAGCACGAACAGCTCATCACACCTCAGCCTGTTGCTGAGAAAAGATACTGTGTCACGCAGCCTGGCAGCAGTGTAGCCACCAGTCTAATGCCAGGCGAAGCGGCCGAGAAGTAGGTCATCACACGTCACTGTCGAGTGGCTTGACCGTCTGCTGATACCTCGCTGTGCCTCACTGTCACAGAAAGGTGGCGATTATACACGTGGAAGAAAGGGATTACTACCTGGAGGAGATACCGCTGAGGACTGTGCGTCCATTCGTGATGGAAGACATTGATCTCGACGATGAGATCCAAGATGCCAATATCGCAGCGGACGACAAGCCTGCAGTGACCAAGCTTCTGAAGCAACACGTGAGGTAGCTGCGCCTGTGTTGACACCATTTACCTTTCGCTGATGTCATGGCTTACCTGCAGGTCTATGGACTGATACAACGCGCGCATGAGGAATGGGCCGCCAAGCAACAACGCTTGGAAGATTCAAGCCACTCTGTTCAGCGCATGCCGCTGCCTCTCGTTCGTCTTCGGGTCACGTACACCAAGCACGAGATGGGCAACTTGGTCCGTTTCGGACAGGAATTCGTTGACAAGTTAGCGAATCCCAAGGACGTGCTTCAATTTACCAAGAAAAAGGCCTCGGGTGCCAGGAAGAGTGAGTGACCTACCACTGTCCTAATCATTAGATGTTCATCCTTTCGCCATTGTTCCTCCGGCAGAACGAGATGAGAATGTAACGGAGTATGTCGACCCTCGGGCAGAAGGAATGGTCGCGTCCGAAAAGCTCGAAAAAGTTCACGTTGGCGATCTCGT